TATTTATATTTTTAATAATAATAATAATAATAATAATAATAATAATAAGGGTTTTATTTGTAGAAAAGTCTTAATATTTTTGTTTACAGAAAAGTCATAATATTTTTTGTTTACAGAAAAGTCCTAATATTTTATGTTAGTTTACGAAATATCCCAAATTAATTTGGTACCGGTTTCAACCGGTCAAAAGGGGTCAAACTGTAAATTTTTACCGGTTTTCAGGACTTTTTCGTTCAAAAAAAAATCTTGGGACTAAAGTGTAACTTTTCCACAAATATTGAGACTTTTCTAAAGATTTCCCTTCATCATTTAGCTATAATCAACAATCCACATCCAACCCATAAATTTTACACTAATCAAGAACACACAAATCACAATGACGACATACACGATTTGGGCCCATTGCCAATGGCCCCTTTAAAATGGCTCCAAGAACAACCCCTTTACTGCTGGCTTGCTCATATCATTTCCCGCCAGTTCTTCACTATCACAATTCATACGCACACATCCTCTCCGTCTCCTTGAAAGATGCTTTGGGTGGACAAATACAGACCAAAATCTCTGGACAAGGTTCTTGTACACGAAGATGTCGCTCAAAATCTCAAGAAATTGGTACTTCTTAATACACCGTCTTTAACTTTCTGGAATTTAGATGTTTACCCTGAAAACTAGGGTTTCTCATTTAGATCGTTGTGATTTTCATCATATATGTATTAGGTCACCGAGCAGGACTGCCCACATTTACTCTTCTATGGCCCATCGGGTTCCGGGAAGAAAACCCTAATTATGGCCCTTCTCAGGCAGATGTTTGGGGCTAGTGCCGAGAAGGTCTTTCTAAAATTCTATCTCTTCTCTCTTTTGTTTAATTTTATGTCCCTCTAATCGGATGATGAAAATGTCTGCTCTTCCTGAATTTGATTAATCTACAGGTGAAAGTGGAGAACAAAACCTGGAAAGTTGATGTAAGTATCCCCCTTCTGAATTATTTGTTATTTCTGATTATGCATAGGTAACTATCACGCAGTATATAACAAGATTGAAACATGGCTCTTTTGCAGGCTGGAAGTAGAACTATTGATTTGGAACTCACGACTCTTTCAAGCTCCCACCATGTGGAGCTGAACCCAAGTGATGCTGGATTCCAGGATCGGTACATTGTTCAAGAAATCATTAAAGAAATGGCAAAGAACAGACCAATTGACGTTAAAGGAAAGAAGGGTTTCAAAGGTTTGCAAACAAGTATTCTTATATATATGTGACATCTGTCCTACCAATATGCTCATGGTGTTTCATATATGCTGTATCAGTATTAGTACTCAATGAGGTTGATAAACTTTCAAGAGAAGCACAACACTCTCTAAGAAGAACAATGGAGAAGTATAGTGCCTCATGTCGGTTGATTCTATGCTGTGACAGCTCATCAAAGGTTACTGAAGCTGTTCGCTCTCGTTGTCTTAATGTGCGAATAAGTGCACCAAAAGAAGACCAGGTCAGTATTTGCAGTTTCATTTTTGGTAGGGATGAATAACTGATTGATTATACATAGGAATATTAATAGGGATGTATGCCAAACTTGTTTTTTATTCAGATTGTTAAGGTTCTGGAATTTATTGGCAAAAAGGAGGGGTTACAACTTCCTCCTGGATTTGCTGCTCGCATAGCAGAAAAATCTGGTCGGAGTTTAAGGAGGGCTATATTGTCATTTGAGACGTGTCGTGTCCAACAGTTAAGATCAATTATTTCTTGTGTTTTTATGTGGTGTTATTTAAAGGAATGCTAATATGAGACTTTTTTTTTATTCTCATAGGTACCCTTTTACTAATAATCAAGTAATCCCCCCAATGGACTGGGAAGAATATGTATCTGAGATAGCAGCTGACATCATGAAAGAGCAGAGCCCTAAAAGGTTTATATCTTGTATCTTTATACATATCATACACTATATGTATATGCTTTCATTATATTTTCTTACTTATTTTTATGTGTATATGTTTATATAGGTTGTTCCAGGTTCGGGGGAAGTTGTATGAGTTACTTGTGAATTGTATCCCTCCTGACGTTATATTGAAGGTTATAATCGCTCCTCTCATAGAACTAGTCTGAATTTGATTTTGCTGTAATTGAAATTGAAGATTTTTGTTGTTATGATTCAGAGACTGCTTCACGAATTGCTGAAAAAACTAGATTCTGAGTTGAAGCATGAGGTCTGTCATTGGGCAGCATATTATGTGAGTTCACTGTTCTTGCTATTGTCCTATTAAAGATTTTCTAAAACCATTATTCTCTTAGTATTGATATATTTTATTTTATTTTCCTTTTTAGGAACATAGGATGCGGCTTGGACAGAAAGCCATATTTCACATTGAAGGTACATCAATCTATTCTCTTTTGAATTTCATAATATTTTATAGCGATTGCTATCAACCATGCATGCAGTAGACTGAATTGGTGCATTGATTAAGCTTTTATCTTTTATACCTCCTTGATGTCATAGCTCATGAGGGTTGTTTGTGTTTATAATAAAATGGGGAGTAGCTTTTGGTTGACACATATAGCTCAAAATTGTTGTACTAACTTTTTCTTAAATATCTAAAATACCCTTTAGTAAAGTTAAAGTAAAGAAACCTTGTGGATCCAAATTAATTACCTTTAGTTTATTTACAATGATGATAAGGGGTAATATGTAACTTCAGCCCTAGAACTTCCTGAAAAAGGAAATGTTGCAACTTTGAAATGAAAAGATTGATGTTTTATTTCTGTCTTGTGATTTGCAGCATTTGTGGCCAAGTTCATGAGCATCTACAAAGGCTTCCTAATTGCGACATTTGGCTGAGCTCAACCATCATGCTTTATGAACCTCATATGCTTCAAAAACTTCAATTGACTTGTTAAGAACACCCCCTTCCTTTTTGTTTTGGTATGTTGTTTTCTACTTAAACCATCTTTTGAGGTTAGGGAATAGATTTTGTAATGGAATGTAAGAACCTTTCTATGTCAGTTGGAAGTTATTGCGACTTTTATATGTTGACTAAAATCATGTTCTTCTGTTAAGTTTGGTTTATAAATTTCTTTGTTTACGCTAGAATTTTGAGATGTCATATTAATTCAACTTTTATTAAGTCAACAAATGGTTCATAAAATAAGGAATTCGGATATTTGGAAGCACCCCGAATCATCACAAACAAAGAAATATTACAACCATCCTTGTCTTGGAAGCCTTTGTACACAAACTTGTGTAAAAGAGGTTTTGAAAGATATAGAGAAAAAACATGATAGAGAGAGAGAGTAGATAGAGATCCACAGAAAACTGGATTGAGCAAAAAATTCTGATCTGAATTGAAAATTGGTTTAAACCGAAACCAGATTTGCCAAATCTGGATCATATTAATCAGATCTACCGGATTAGGACCAGATTCATATTCTGCGACTGCAGCCGAATTTGACCCCAGATCAGAAACTGGATTGGCCCGAATCTGGATCCAAATCCACCCAAATCGGATAAAAATGGTTCGAATCCGGATTAGGGCCGGATCAAAATCCACCTGAAACTGGATCCGGATTAGGTCGGATTCGGTGTTTTTGCACCTACTGAAAGAAGGAAAGGATAATAAAAGAAAAAGTATTGAAAGGGAGTAAAGAAAAAGAGCCAAAAAAAAAAAAAAAAAAAAAAAACTTCTACAAAGATGAATTGGCCAAGCATTAACACTTTCTGTCAAAGAAGCGACTTGTTTAAAAATAAAGGTAGTTAAAATACGTAGCCAAAAATGAAGTTAGTCCGCTTTGTTTTCAAGAACTTTTTTCCCAGAGAAGGTGATCTTGTGAATTCGCAGACGGATTGATCATTTTGTGATACTTGTTGAAAAATGATAATTGAGTGAAGAGAAGGTCTATGAATGGTAATGGAATGTATGAAAAGATGCACTACAGTGTACGGGTATTATTAACATTTGGAATTTAGTTTAAGACAAGGGGATCTTTTGAATATAGATATTGGCGAGTAGCAAACATGCTATCAAAACAAGATTTTATGGATTCAGATAACAATACTTAATAAGGATGTAAAACAGATTTGATGATTGAATGATTGATAATAATGAGTTATTATGGATTAATGATGGAAATTGTAATTAATGAGGGAATATCAACATCACGTAATACATGATTGATGATGATATTTGATTACATAAGATGAAGAAATATATTTAATTTCTCAATACAATATTGATTTGATAATGAGGCAAGTGGCCAAACTATGTCTGCCCCTAGAAATGTCTTGTAGAGTTATAGTTAGTGTTGCCTGTCAGAGTCAGACTGTCAGTTGTTGAACATGGACGGTGGTTGCTGGCTTCAGAATGCAGTTTAGTTATGGTATGTGTCAGGAGTCATGTTCTGATTGATAATGGACACTATCTGTATGTATGTAGTAGCCTGATTGAAAGTAAACTGAATTTTTATCAACAGAAATAAATTAACAGATCTTGTCAAGGTAAAACACTACAATTCTTTCAATTACCGTAGAATTATTAGAAAGAGAAATTATACATTACATTGGAATTCCCGACAGGGAATTCCACAACCCCTAGTAATAATAATAATTTAATAAGTAAATACATATATATAAATAAATATTTACATCAAATGAACATTTCCCTTGGCACATATATTACAAAAAGCTTTTTAAAGTACAAGTGTTACTAATTGATGCCAAACAATCTGAATTAAGAATTCAAAGATTCGGCACTGCTCTTGTAAATTTCATCCACATGAGCTGCAGGCACATAAACTGCATGTTGCAGGGAGCTATGACTCCGCCCATAAATCACATACACAAACACTCCAATCACCAGCCACACCGATACCCGCATCCATGTATCCGCCCTACAATATCCCAATCATATCATATCATTTATCAAATAACACTTTTTTTTTTTTTTTAATATATCATTCTTAAAAAACTAATATAAATAAACTCACCCAAGATTTAGCAGCAAATATACATTGATGAGAATCGAAAGGATAGGCAGGAGAGGAACAAATGGGCATATGAAACCTGAACACAAATAACTAATTCTTAGAATACATATATGGCTAAATGCAAGAAATAACAACACACTTGTATTTTTTCTATATTCTCCTTCAAAAAATCTACCCAATTGTACTTACAATTATTTTCTTATTAGGGTAAATTCTACTCGATTATATCTGTGAAAGTTGCTATGTATTTTGATGAAATTGCTACAACTGGTTCATAGTAGATTGTTGTAATATGAAGAAATGAAAGTAAGATGCTATAATGAAACTATTTCTTGCATTCAATGAATAGTCAAGTATATATCAAATCCAACAGAAATATTACCGCCTGAGTGCCCAAAATTATGTCTGGCATCATCCTGGTCTATACAACTTAGCACACCTAGACCCAATAATAACAGAAGTCCACCAACTCCACATAATGTCAACCGAAAAGATCTGCCGATATCATACAACCAACAAATTCAATAATCCATCATCACAAATCTGACTTTTTGACCAGAATCCCAAAAAATCTTTAATATGGGATTTGCTTTTTTTTTTTTTTGATAACACAGAAATTAGAAATAAACCAACCTAGGAATGCCAAGATTCGAGGCTGAATATGTAAGAATCAATGCTCCAATACAAGTAAGTATTATAGCCCACCCTGCAATATTTCTTCTCTTGCTTTCCTTGCATTTGGCTGCCAAGATTCACATAATTTTACTATATAGCTTTTTAATGAAACATCATCATTTAGCAAGTAAGGAATCTGGATTATAAACCTTGAGCTGATATTTTAGCAATTAGAGGATATTCAGCTGATGCTTCTCCTTTTTTAGATATATTTTTCTCCCCAGTCTGACTTTTGCTAATCTCAACATCAATTTCCTCGGTTCTAACGTTGTTACTATAACGCAAAGAGACCAAATCTATTGCTGCTTGTAGTGATGATGGAAGTGGGACCTCATCCGGTGGGACATACCTAAGTATCAACACTGAAACTGCCACCATTGTAAATGCTAGAAGTGTACCTACACTCACCTGCAACATAAATGAACTTAAACACCTTGTTCAATATTTATACTTATGGAATCATTTCAAGAAAAAAAAAGATGCCACATACCATCCCTGCCAGCTGTTCAACATCCATGGCAAATGCCAAGGCAGCAGCAATCACACCAGTCAGAATCGTGCTCTTCACTGGAACTTGTGTGCGTTTATTTACTTCTGAAAAGAATGATGGGAGTAAACCGTCTCTAGACATTGCCATCAAGATTCGTGGCTTCATAAAAAGAAAAAAATTCAGTCAGGAGACCAAAAATCAATAGAAACAAGTGTTTTTATATTTCATGATCAAGAAAAGATGGTTACTTGAGGCAAAAGTGAACCCATAAGAGTTGAGCATAGAGCAGTGACAGCTCCAATTGTTATGATATACCTGTGAAGTAATTGATTATTAGCATATTGAATCCGACATTTATTTATTTTGTGCACATTGATCATTACTTACACTGCCCATTGAACACCATGACTTGCAAATGCAGAAGAGATAGGGGTGTCAGGATCCATGGCATAATATGGCACTAAACCAACAATCACTGCAGACACCAACATATATAACATGCAGCATATAGATAGTGCAGCTCCAATTCCCAAAGGCAGATCCCTTTGAGGGTTCTTCACCTGTACAATTCCTTCATAAGGTTAGTTTAGACATTTGACAAATACTAGTCATATATGTTGCAATTTTCAAGGGAGATGGAGGGAGTAGATATATAGATGATCATGTACCTCTTCTGCTGTGCTGGCAACTGAATCAAACCCTATGTATGAAAAGAATACTGTAGAAGCTCCAGCAAGCATCCCGTCAACTCCAAATGGAAAGTACCCAACAGGAAGTCTATACCCAATCCATCCGCTTTTGAACCCTAGATATCCACCCGCTAAAATAATAAAGATCATAGCACATATGTTTGCAGTCGTGACCACTGATTGCACGAAAGTGCTCTGCAACATTCAAATTTCATTAAACAAACATGTTTAAAATCAACAGTTCCAACACAACTTAGTGAAGAAAAAAAAGATCTTTGGAAGAAAATGAAGGAATACCTCTTTGATTCCAACACATAATAGCCCTGTAACAATAAACACCAAGAAAGCTGCACAAGGGTCGACCACAATACCAAGCGAAGGAATAGAATAGCGTGCAAGAAAAAATGGTAGACTATCTGGGCCCCCAAAGAGCAATGCCTGAACGTAGGAGAAATGCCAATTAAGTCCAGAAAGTAGTATCATTGCCTATTATTTTCATATACATACCAGATTAGGAGAAATGCCACGAGCAACTGCAGATCCTCCAATTGTATATTCCAAAATCAAAGCCCATCCGATTATCCAAGCAAGACTGAAAATTAGAAAATGGTAATATCAGCATTCAAGATTTTTTACAATATCATAGCTTATTAAGAATTTGAAGATGAAGAACCTACCCTTCTCCAACACAGATGTAGGAATAATGATAGGCACTTCCAGCTGAAGGACAGCGACTTGCAAGCTCAGCATAACAAAAGGCAGAAAGAGCAGCTGCTATACCAGCAATAAGGAAAGAAAAGGCTAAAGCAGGGCCAGAATGTTCTCTAGCAACTGTACCCACAAGAATGTAAACCCCAGCTCCGATTGTCGAACCAACACCTGATAAATTTCGTAATCCCAATATTAATACAGATCTTTCAATATTGAACGAAAACGAGAGGATTTCAGAATTTGAAGTATGTATGATAAAATAACAGAATTCTCTGTTTCGTTTTTGTTTACCTATGGCGATGAGATGCGCAATCGATAATTCCTTAGCCAATTGATGATGGCCTGTCTCTAATGACTTCGAATGAACCGAATCAACCCGTTTCCTCCTCACCAAACTTCTTAACCCTGACTTTCCTCCATTACCAATAGCCCCCTGATTTGACTCAGCAACAAAACCCATCAAATAGAAAACCCAATCTCAATTACAGACAATTGGGTATCGGAATCAACGCTCGGTTATCAACGGTATCTGAGTCTTTTTTGTTCTCCGGTATTGGTTTATTTGGTCACGAATCTAGAAAACCTGCCAGCATAATAATGAGAAACAGAGATCTAGCTATCTATATCTTAGATTCAAGATAGATTCTTAAAGATTCAATCCTTCCCCCTAATACTAATAGGGATGGATTGGCTGGCAGATTTGGGTAGATATCAAGACGCAACCAAACCAAACCAAGCCTTGCGTTGCGTATCAATGGAGAAAGCGTCAGGATGGTTTGTCTGGTTATATGCTGGCTCTGTATTATAAATATAGGCACTGTTGTTATTGGATGAACCGGGCCCATTATGGGCGGGCGGTCCTGAATTTTCTATTGTTTGTTTGTGTAGTCTCTTGCTCACGTTCATTCATTCCTAATCCTCCTGCCTATTGCTTTTTCATTGATTTCTAATATTATTTCCTGAAAAAAAAATACAAAACATGAAAGGATTGTTTTTTGGTCATTTCACACATCATCATTCAACAATGTTAGCGTCTGTCTTCTGAAGATATTATAATGATAATTGAGTAATATACAATTTCAATATAGTGCTACACAATGATTGGGTCCACCCTTATGAACATGAATAAATGAAATACTTGTTTATTGTTCATTTCACACATACAATTATTACGGTTCAAGGGATTTTCAATATAGTACCTATAGTTTCAGACTTTACAGCAAAGTCACAAAGTTTTAAAAGATAAGTTGATTAGATGGATATTAAAGGATTTGAATCTTTGATTTTGATTGTGTTTTTGTACTTCTTTTATCAAGGTGTGATTTTAAAGATTTGGAGTGTGGAAGGTTGCACTTTGAACATCATCATGTATGTATTAGATAGAAGATGAAAATGGTTATAGTAATAATGATAATAATGATGAACTTGGACTGATAATTTTTGACCAAAACAAAATGAAAATGGATGAGGTAGTTGTAAATGGTTGTGATGCTGATAAAAGAGATGGACAATGACTAAAATAAGAATCAATAGGAGCTAGCTCTCCGTTTTACTATAGCTTTTATGTCAATGTTGACACCAAATCATGTGTTAGACAATTAAGTTGCTTGTAATAAAATCACATGCAACAAACCTAGTTGTTTGAAGCTCAACTCTCCAAAAGCTTCAAAAAATATCATGTTTTAAGCTTGATTTTTAGTTTCATGAAGCTTACTAACTTTTAACAATTTTTGTTTGTCGTTAGTGTGGTGTTACTATAGGTTTCTGGAAAACAATAGTCATGAGAAGTCAACTTGCATAATCTCAAGTGTAAAATCATTAGAATGTTATGGGATCCAAATATTAAAAAAATAAATAAATAAATACCCCCTCTTCGAAAACTTCTTGGATCCGCCCTT